AAATATGTATTTTGGGGGTATAATCTTTTCAGATGTGACAGGAAACACAGGCTACAGGGTGGGGTCAGCCTCTATATCAAGGACACACTCATCTGTACTGAGCTGCTAAACACCACAAATGATATGGTGGAAGTGCTGATAATCAAAATAGAGATCTTAAATGTAGTTATTGTCCTTGTATATAAGTCACCGGAGGCAAATCATCACCAATTTAAAGACCAACTAATGAAAATAGAACACTGCTTGGAAAACCTCACAAATCCAGCCCCAAACATCATCCTGCTGGGAGATTTCAACCTATGGCACCTGAAATGGAAGACCATAGCTGATACAGTTGTTTCGGAGAGAATTCTGGGAAGTAGCCTTAATGAACAGGCACATGCAAATGACCTGCTACGGATGTGCGACAGGTTTGCCTTAAACCAGCAAATGGTAGAACCAACTAGGAAGGAGAACACGCTGGACCTCATTTTCACTAATTATGATGAATTGATCAGGAACATAATGATTACAAATACCTGTTACTCAGATCACAACTTAATTGAAGTTCTGACAACCATGGGGAATAGACCTTCAAAACCAGTCCGGATTTTCGGTGGAGGAGATTTAAGCAAATTCAACTTCAATTATAAACAGATAAACTGGGAGCAAATAAACCAAGACTTCACAGAAATAAGCAGGGAAGAACAGCTAGAAAATGAAAACCTGAACCAGTGCCTGGAAAAAATAAGCTCAGTAGCACTAGAAATACAGTATGTTCAAACTGCATACCCCTAAGAAAAGAGAGAAAGAGATGCAGATTGGAACTGGAACGTTGTTCCCTCTATAGGCAAAGAAAACGAATCGCAAAACAACTTGAGTCACACCCTATCTCAAGAATGGCGAAGGAGGTTAGGTAGAGAAATAGAAACAATTGAACTAAATTTACAAGAATCATATGCAACCCAGGAGAGGCAAAGAGAGCAAAAGGCCATCAGTGAAATAGAGAGAAATCCAAAATATTTTTCCTCCTATGTAACATTAAGATCAAAAACTACATCTAGTATCGAGCCCCTGCGAAAGGGAGGTAGAACTTTCACATATGACAACAAAGAAATGAGCGAAATACTGAGGAATCAGTATGACTGTTTTCAGCGAGCCACTAAACACACTGAAGATTGATAACCCATATGAATTTTTCACGGATATGATACCAACATCAAATCAGATGTCACCCTATTCCTACTGGATTTTGAAGAAGCCATAGACAGTATGCCTATGCACTCTGCACCAGGCCCCATTCTTTGAATTCTATATTCATCGAGAACTGTAAAAAAAACGCTATTGCAGGCCCTTCACAGTCTTTGGAGACAAAGCCTAGATACTGGCATTATCCCTGACATATTAAAAAGAGCAGAGATAGCACCACTCCATAAAGGAGGAAATAAGGCAGAGGCAAAGAATTACAGACCGATCATACATCATAAAAATCTTTGAAAGAGTGCTAAGAAGTAAGATCACAAAATACATGGAATCACAGCATCTCCATAACCCCGGACAACATGGTTTCAGAACAGGGCGCTCTTGCCTATCACAGTTGCTGGACCACTATGACATGGCACTAGATGCTATGGAAGACAAACAAAACGCTGATGTAATTTACACAGATTTCGCAAACGCTTTCGACAAATGTGACCATGGTGTTATTGCACATAAAATGAGTTCAAAAAGGAATTACAGGAAAAATAGGCAGATGGATCTCCAATTTCCTGATTAATAAAACCCAATGTGTAGTAATCAACAAAATAAAATCCGGACCATCAACCGTAAAGAGCTCAGTCCCCCACGTTACTGTGCTTGCTTCAGTACTTTTTCTCATCCTCATGTCGGACATAGACAAGGACACATCCTATAGTACTGTATCATCCTTTGCAGATGACACTAGGATTTTTATGAGAATAAACATAGAGGACATGGCAAACCTACAATCAGATGTAAATCAGGTTTTTCTATGGGCTACAGAAAATAATATGGTGTTTAACGAAGATAAGTTTCAGCTCATGCGTTACGGAAAAAATTAAAATATAAAAACGAAAACCACGTACAAAATGCCGTTAATTCATAACATAAAACGGAAAGGCAATGCAAAGGATTTGGGTGTACTGATGTCGGAAGACCTTACATTTAAAGAACACAATAAAGTAGCCGTCACAACTGCAAGAAAAATGACAGGTTGGATAACAAGAACCTTTCACACTAGAGATGCTATACCGATGATACTTTTCATTTTCAAGACGCTAGTGCTCTCTAGAGTGGAATACTGCTGCACAAAATGCCCTGCTGTTGCATAAGATTTCTTGTGCAATGGAATACTGTGCAGATTTGAGTGGAATACTGCTGCACAAGATTTCTCCAGCCCCTTTCAAAGCTGGAGAAATTGCTGATTTGGAGAGAATGCAGAAATCATTTACTGCTAGAATCCACTCAGTAAAACACCTAAACTATTGGGACGCTAGTGCTCTCTAGAGTGGAATACTGCTGCACAAAATGCCCTGCTGTTGCATAAGATTTCTTGTGCAATGGAATACTGTGCAGATTTGAGTGGAATACTGCTGCACAAGATTTCTCCAGCCCCTTTCAAAGCTGGAGAAATTGCTGATTTGGAGAGAATGCAGAAATCATTTACTGCTAGAATCCACTCAGTAAAACACCTAAACTATTGGGACCGATTAAGGAGCCTAAATCTGTATTCTCTTGAGCGCAGACGGAAGAGATACTGTCTCCACTCGATCATTCGGACTATATGGGAAGGACCCCCAGCCGGATTATCACATTTTTCGGATAATGGTACTTTTTCACCTACGAGTCCAAAAGTGACCATTTCCAACTATTTTTATACTACAAACAACATAATTTGAATTTCCTTGCCACATATAATTATTAAATATTCAACTAGAAACCTCAACTTACCTTGTTGGTGTTTGTCTTCTTGAGTGATGCCACACATCTTGAAGTTAAAAATTCTTAACAATTTACGTAACCTATACTAACACAACACTAAAATTAACACTTAAAATTACTATACAGTTTATTAAGCAAAGTTAGTTTTGACTGCCAGCTGCTGAAGCGTCACTGGTTGAAGGCATTTGGGTTGCCTGTGAGGCCTCACTTGTTGAAGGCGCTTGCTTGCGCCTCACTTGTTGAAGGCACTTGCTTGTGCCTCACTTGTTGAAGGCACTTGCATGCGCCTCACTTGTTGAAGGCACTTGCTTGTGCCTCACTTGTTGAAGGCCCTTGGCTTGCCTGTGAAGCCTCACTTGATGAAAGCATTTGGCTTGTGTGTGATGCCTCACTTGTTGAAAGCGCTTGCGCCTCACTTGTTGAAGGCGCTTGGCTTGCCTGTGAAGCCTCACTTGTTGAAGGTATTTGGCTGCCTGTGACGCCTCACTGGTTGAACAACACGTAACTTGTCTTTAATTGCTAGGACAACCGTCTTCCTCTTAACACCTCCAGAACGATTGATGCTGCTACCAGACATAGTCTTGGCCAAAAATGTTCAAAGTTACTATGAAAATAAAAAAGTTATTTAAAAAAATATTTCACTAATGGCGCAGCACTGTGGTATAACACGAGGGACGGGAGCACATGGGTTGACCAGTGTTGGACGGATTACTAGTACTTATTTCATTTGTTTTTGGGTATGATTAATTGTTCTAAAATTAATGGTAATTCCTGTATCCAGGTGGTCCCTCCCGAAGTTCCCCTCCCACCCTCCCGACACCACCCACCCACCCCGCCCCCTCCTCCACCATGCGTCTAGAGCCACAGGCAGACAGGATTAATACGGTACAGCCAAATTTTTATCCGGCTAAACCAACTTTTATCCGGCTCCCGTGGCCATTTTGGCCGGATATTGAGATAACTTTATCCGTTCACGATTTTGGCCGTATAAGGACGTTTTCCGGATGTTCGAATCCCAGATAATTGCGTGGTTACAGTACATAATAATTTACACATGGAAAATAATAGAGGGGCTGGTCCCAAACCTGCACACAGAAATAACAGCACATGAGACCAGAAGGCATGGCAGGATGTGCAGAATACCCCCGTTGAAGAGCAGAGGTGCAACAGGTACTCTGAGAGAGAACTCTATCAACATCAGAGGCCCGAGACTGTTCAACACGCTTCCACTACACATAAGGGGCATAACTGGCCGAACCCTCAGTGTTCAAGAGAGAACTTGACAAACACCTCCAAAGGATACCTGATCAACCAGGCTGTGACTTATACATCAGGCTGCGAACAGGCACGTCCAACAGCCTGGTTGACCAGTCCAGCAACGAGGAGGCCTGGTCGACGACCGGGCCGAGGGGTCACTGAGCCCCGGAATCACCTCAAGGTAACCAAGGTATTAGGAGAACAGGTTGATTTATCTGGTGGTGAAGTTTCAAAGGGATCCAAGCATTGGGTACAAAAGGTAAATTACTTGTAGGTCTATGTGGTGGAACAGCAGATGTGAACACCTTGCTCTTCACAACTGTGGCACTCACTCATTATTTTAGTTTTGCATGCATATCTTAAATGACAATAGTTGAGTCATGCAGCACATTTATATAATGTAGCTTCATATGTAAGTTGTGTGTAAGACTGGTATTTTCTTTACAATCCAATAGAAGGTAAGTAAATAGTAATACTGTACAAACACTGTTTACTTATGCACAGTAATGAGAAAATAGTAGTTGGTAAATGCTATTCAAACAATAAAATTGTGTTTAGTAATACTGTAGCATGAAAGAAAAAGAATGCTTCTTCAAATATTTTAGAATATATACTAATAAATTAAAAAAAAAATTTCCTGACATGTAACAACACTTTATTTGAGCATCTAACTAAAAATATCTAACCATAAATAGTTACTAACTCTTAAGTTTATGCCTAATGGTCATTTCAATATCTCCTTTGATATAAACATCAATATGACTAACATTACTAACCTAAATAACTCTACTGATACAAAACAGTGCAAGGAAACGACCTGTTCCTTACCACCGGCCAACACCTCCTCCCTCTCCATCATCCTCTGAATCATCTTGGTGGTCGCGCAGTCAAAGTCGCAGTCGAACTCGTAGCAGATCATGGAGTCGTACACGTTCTCCCTCCTACAGTAGGTAATGCTCTGAGAAATTATATTGTCAATTATAGAAGAAAGTACCAACTTGTCATAATGGCAAAGAAATTAAACAAAAATTGAACTAAGGATTGATATATTAAACAAAATCAAGCATAAAGATTCTTTAATATTTGGCATTTTGTGACAAAATTTTGCTTTGAAAGTTGTATGTATGTATTTGCAGTACAGTATATATATATATGTCGTACCTAGTAGCCAGAACACACTTCTCGGCCTACTATGCAAGGCCCGATTTGCCTAATAAGCCAAGTTTTCCTGAATTAATATATTTTCTCTAATTTTTTTCTTATGAAATGATAAAGCTACCCATTTCATTATGTATGAGGTAAATTTTTTTTATTGGAGTTAAAATTAACGTAGATATATGACCGAACCTAACCAACCCTACCTAACCTAACCTAACCTATCTTTAAAGGTTAGGTTAGGTTAGGTAGCAGAAAAAGTTAGGTTAGGTTAGGTGGTCGAAAAAAAATTAATTAATGAAAACTTGGCTTATTAGGCAAATCGGGCCTTGCATAGTAGGCCGAGAAGTGCGTTCTGGCTACTAGGTACGACATATATATATATATATATATATATATATATATATATATATATATATATATATATATATATATATATATATATATATATATTATTAAATATGACCGAAAAAGTAAGATTAATAATTCTAACACGAATTTTCTCAATCTTTCGTACATTACGCTTCACTGTTGGAGGTAAATCAAAAATCAATTCTCCAAAATTCATTTTTATTTCTAGTCTGACGCGACACGGGCGCGTTTCGTAAAACTTATTACATTTTCAAAGACTTTTAGTTCACAAATACACAACTGAATAGAACTTACGTATCTCCGATTTTATATATACATTTGAGTGAGGTGGGAGGGGTGATGTGGCATTAACACAAGACAGAACAATAGGGGATATTAATAGGGTATTAAAAGTATCAACACAAGACAGAACACAAACAATGGGTATTGAATAGAAGTGTTTGTAGAAAGGCTATTGGTCCATATTTCTTGATGCTTCTATATTGGAGCGGAGTCTTGAGGTGGGTAGAATATAGTTGTGCAATAATTGGCTGTTGATTGCTGGTGTTGACTTCTTGATGTGTAGTGCCTCGCAAACGTCAAGCCGCCTGCTATCGCTGTATCTATCGATGATTTCTGTGTTGTTTACTAGGATTTCTCTGGCGATGGTTTGGTTGTGGGAAGAGATTATATGTTCCTTAATGGAGCCCTGTTGCTTATGCATCGTTAAACGCCTAGAAAGAGATGTTGTTGTCTTGCCTATATACTGGGGTTTTTGGAGCTTACAGTCCCCAAGTGGGCATTTGAAGGCATAGACGACGTTAGTCTCTTTTAAAGCGTTCAATTTTGGAGAATTGATTTTTGATTTACCTCCAACAGTGAAGCGTAATGTACGAAAGATTGAGAAAATTTGTGTTAGAATTATTAATCTTACTTTTTCGGTCATATTTAATAATATATGTCTACAGGAAAGACTGCTACCAAAATATACTAATATATATATATATATATATATATATATATATATATATATATATATATATATATATATATAATAATATTTTAGATATTTTGTATTGTACTGCTCACCCTTTCTTAAAATAAATTATCATATACATATGTTAGCTGCTATTATGCTTAAAAGCAAAAAAAAAAAAAAATTCACTGAATAATTTAAAAGTAAATTTGTTTAATGCAATGTATTTTATATTTGAGACTATTATTAAGTCAGTGGATGCATAATAACCCACTCAAGCAGCTAAATGTGAAAGAGTTCATTATGAAAAGTATACTTTAGAAAAAATCACAAGCTTATTGATTATAATTTAATATTTACTTGACAGAAGGTTGAGAGATTTGTAATGATTCAAGTTAGTATAAGAGTACCGTGCTGCATTACCTTCTAAAGGAGAGTGAAATATCTCTGGATAACCTCTGCTTGTGTGTGACTATTCATCTCTATTAACCTGTTTGTTAAGGTTAGTTCTTGTCAATGGTATTGCATTACAGCCAGCCTTACTTGCCTTAGATTACAACTAATTGGTTTTTATGCACTTGAAGGCTTTCATTTTAATTGAATTAGAATTGAGTAATAAATTACAAGAATATAAGTAAATACTCAAGTGTTGTAATGTTTGTAAAATGGGAGCGAGTGAACTGTATAGTATTAATAAAATTGTAACTTATCATAATGATGTCATGAATACAGATACAGATGTTTTACAGATAAATATAACAAATAATATTTTGTAAACCAGATGTTAATTTACTTAACAATGACTTCATTGCTGTAACTTATTTGTGTTTGTTACAAATAGGCAATTCATCAATTTTACACTTCTGCTGAGAAGAAACATAATACAAAAAAACACCAGCTGAATCTCTTGATGTTTTATATATATATATATATATATATATATATATATATATATATATATATATATATATATATATATATATGTCGTACCTAGTAGCCAGAATGCACTTCTCGGCCTACTATGCAAGGCCCGATTTGCCTAATAGGCCAAGTTTTCCTGAATTAATATATTTTCTCTAATTTTTTCTTATGAAATGATAAAGCTACCCATTTCATTATGTATGTGGTCAATTTTTTTTATTGGAGTTAAAATTAACGTAGATATATGACCGAACCTAACCAACCCTACCTAACCTAACCTATCTTTATAGGTTAGGTTAGGTAGCCGAAAAAGTTAGGTTAGGTTAGGTAGGTTAGGTAGTCGAAAAACAATTAATTCATGAAAACTTGGCTAATTAGGCAAATTGGGTCTTGCATAGTAGGCCGAGAAGTGCGTTCTGGCTACTAGGTACGACATATATATATATATATATATATATATATATATATATATATATATATATATATATATATCTAATTTGTACGGTAGATGTAAATTGATCAGCTGAAGAAAACCATTAATTTATGCCAATTTCCCATTGCTCATGTATCTTATACTGTGTGCATTTGGGAAATATGAATCAGGTTTCCGATCTTATAATGTATATCTGTACCTGGGTAGTAAGCTTTTCTATAGGAACTTAGTTTTGTTATTTTATACATGCTCCTTACAACGATGTTGGTTAATCAGTTCCATCACTATTCATGTATAGTATATTAAAATTCAAGATATTAAAAGTTTGATCTGTCCAGGAAGAAATATTAAAGTGATAAACTTAAGTTATGTTCTAGTCATAATGGAATCATTAGTGCTAGTCAGGTAGTCACCAGAAAATGAATACAATTTAAGGTAGTTTTGAAATATTGCTCAAAGCAATTGATGCATGCCATGGAAATCTTCAAATCTGATATGATGTATGGTTGTATAGGTAATGTACAGTTGTGTATGTTGGACACTGAAATTATCAGTATAAGCAAAAATATTTTGATGACATGGTGGTTCAGAGTTAATTAGTAATTTGTCACAATGTTGCTGTGTTTGGTATTCACATGTGATATCCTAGTACAGAATTCTATTAACTACAAATACTTATCCAAGAATACTCAGCAAACAACTTGGTGCAATATTTGTATAGAATTAGATATTGAGATTTAATAGTTTATATAAGAAAATTTTGTGAGATTCTGCCATCTAGAGAGAAACATGATGGTCCTTTGAAGTTTCTACACATTCAAATGAAACTAAAGCCAAAGTCCCATGTACTTAATTATTTAATATATTTAGGTTACTGAACAGTATTTAATATTTATAATGGTCATACTTCAAGATTAGTTTACACAATAGTTATTTACAATGGTAATTTATACTCATTTATTTTAGGGATATTAATTTATGTGCAGTGTCATGTTCATTAGTTAGTGTTTTTTGACATACTTTGTTTAATCATAGGTGTTTTAATTTTATAGTTTACATATACATCAGCATATTTTCTGTTATCTAGTCAGTACACAAGTAAATAGTCATGTGTTTTTGTGGTTACAGCAGTAATTTGTCTAGTCATTGCAAGTTATTTTAATAATGTAATATGAAATGAAAAGTCCTCTAATGGTGGACAATTGTGAAAATTGTTTATGTAGATATTGACTTAAATCTGTAAAGTATTGCGTGAAAAAAACTTTGCTGCTAAACGGCCTGTGAATGTACCTGCATACATCTTGGGCAAGATGCCTTGTGCTATACCAGAAGCTTATTTTGGCAAAGTTGAGCATTTCTGGAAGTGCAGTGGTGCATCTAGCTGTTGCTAAATTTCTCAGTCCGATCTAATTATTCCAATCACTGTCACTTTAGTAATTCAAGGCATAAACTTAACTGCCAATGAGAAATAGGTAAAGTCAAAACTAAGACCTTACTAACTTGGATATTTTAACTGAAAATTGCAACAGTTAGTCATGTCCAGAATCATCCCACCCTTCCACAGGACCACTTCAGTAATATACTGTAGTCGACCAATGTGAAGGTGTAGCATCATTAGGGTGTTACATCTCTTAAGCCATGGTATAGATTTTTGTTTATGATCTTAAAACTCCCTCTGTTTTCCCTATGCTCTTATCTCTTCTTTCTCCTCATTTTGTCCCTCTATCTGCCCAACCACCTGGACTGGACGGTAGAGCAACGGTCTTGCATCTTGCAGGGGCTATATAGTCGTAATGGCTTAGTGCTTTCCCCTGATTATTTATTATTATTTTGTATATTTTGTAGAAGCAGTCTGCTCATCTCTTAAGTGATGATTTTGTATTTTGTCCATAACCAAAGACATTGCAGGTGTATTGTCATTTCCCTGCTGTTTTTAAATCTTTGTGATGTGATGTACAATTCTGAACTGGTTTGATTATAACCAGTTGTACTGAGCAAATTGCATTTGTTTCTCACCTGGTCCTTGTGGTGTCTCCCCAGAGTAGAATTGTGCGATTTACTTAGTAAATATAAATTACACACTACTTTATTTTATTGCATGAACCCTCCAAGTTGTTGAAGACCTGTTGAAGTTTTATTATAGTTGCAAGACAAGGATAAGAATTAAGTTCAGGAAAATAATTATCAAAAGAAGGCACCAAACTGGGAAGCCTATTTAAAATAGCATTGTACTGCTATTCAAAAGTACAAAATATTCGGATATTTAAAGTACGGATAAAAGTATGGATATTCAAAAGGTCATAAATAACATGTCTAGATCCAAATATGCGAGCAAACTTACATAGGTCAAGCAAAATCAGTCATATGATTTCACCTAGGATTTTACTGAGGGACAAGTAAGCCAGAGAAACATTAGAAAAGCAAGGCCTGTGATCATCATGAAAATCGGGACATTCTTTAACCACTTAACTACGTAAACCTAGTATTCTTGGTCGGCGGGAAACTACGCCAACCAAGAAAACTTTTATTTTTCCATACCCATTCTAAATGTGTGCGAGATTGGTTGTGTACGAAATGGACTCTTAGTACCTCCAGTAAGAGGCAGTCATCTTGGAAAAAATTCCCAGAATGCCCTTTGGTTGCTGGCTGGGTTAGTAATGAGTGAGCAACCATGGGTAGCGCACGCACCTCTAGCTCCCAAACACCTGTCTGACGCGGTGTTGAAAGATAACGCTCTGTTGATAAAATTTAAACCTTATGGTTTGAAGAACATAAGGGTCATAATATTGGTGAAGCTAGGCGCAATAAGGACCTAACACAAAGGTCAGATGCAAGTGATACAGCACCTATGAGGACGATACAGCGAGCTTATCCAGTTGTAGCTCTGAGTGTCACCCTTGCAATCCTATGCTATCTCCAATTTATTTAGATGATACATAGATGAATCGACTTCTGCATTCAGTGAAGATGCATCTGATACAAGTAGCATAGATGAGGTGTTAGCAGCTTCCATGGTGGTGTTTTCCATAGATATTTTCAAGAATACCTGAATCTCTTTTTGACTGACGGACACTTTTTGAGGCAAGCTGAATCTCTTCCTGTGTGGGACCATACAAAGCAATTTTTTCAAGACTACCTTACAAATTGATCTTTTCCTATAATCTTTTCAATACTACCTTATGCTTTACAAGCTTGGCTACATTCAACCTGCAAGTACTAAAGCCATGGGTGTACTTGCGTGCATTATTTGCAATCACACAGAATGAAGAAACAGGAAGTGAAAATTTATCTGTACCTGGTGCAGCGAGAGCAAAGTCGCGCTGTGCACCATGGACTACTTCGTTGATTATTACTCACTTCCGAAGTACTGAGTGTGTAATACAGTGTGTTACTGTGTAGTGTGTGAAACTGTATATATTGTAATTTTAGTGAATTTTTAACAAGTAATATTATGAAAATAACCATTTATTGTGGACACATTACTGACACAAGTATCACAGTTCCATGGAACATTATGAACGTTCTACTGTATACATATTGTAAAGGACACAAATATGCATCATATACGTTAAAAAAAATCTTTAAAAACGCATTGAGAATAGAACAAATATTGAAAATATATTTGTAGCAACACAAAGCCGAGCTGGAGCGGGAGCCGGTCGGCCGAGCGGACAGCACGCTGGACTTGTGATCCTGTGGTCCTGGGTTCGATCCCAGGCGCCGGCGAGAAACAATGGGCAGAGTTTCTTTCACCCTATGCCCCTGTTACCTAGCAGTAAAATAGGTACCTGGGTGTTAGTCAGCTGTCACGGGCTGCTTCCTGGGGGTGGAGGCCTGGTCGAGGACCGGGCCGCGGAGACACTAAAAAAAGCCCCGAAATCATCTCAAGGTAACCTCAAGATACACCTGGTGCTTGAATGGCCCGCGCGACCATATCTGGGCGAGTCATGCACGGGCGACCAGGCCCTGATAACGTCACAGCGCACCTTGTCCACTTCCCCACAGCCAAAGTGGAATTTGGTATTTATTTTTACATAGACGTGTTTAGGGAAGGGAATTTATCATTTTACAAAGAAAAAAGGATTTTTGGGAACACTTTATTTCATGTGCACAGGGGGGGAATTTCACAATAAACTCGGCGCAGCACAGTGGTTAAGGGGCATGTGGCCATTGGGAGAACAATGCAGCATGACGAGCACTGTAATTATGAAAAGAAGGCACCAAGCCAGAGAGACCTATGAAGCGCCATCAGTGTTGCTGGATATTCAACAGGCACTAAATATCACTGGATGCCAGTATGAGAAAAAAAAAGCACATGTGAGAAGTGATATCAAAGGTATCAGATTTGACAAGGATTCTATATAGACAAATGACCTTGAGGTACATGAGGAAAGCAGGACAGGCAAGTAAGTAATTATCAAAAGAAGGCACCAAGCTGGGGAGACTATGTAGCACCATCAAAAGTGTGGGATATTCAAAAGGTGCTAAATATCTAAGGATGCCAATACGAGAACAAAAGCGCATAAGGTGAACATCAAAGATATCTGATTCACTAAGGATACTATCGAGAGACAAGTAAGTAATTATCAAAAGAAGGCACCAAACCA